ACCCAGGGAGTAATAATAATAATAATCATCATCATCATCATCATCATCATCATCATCATCTTGGTGTAGAACCACAATCCAAAATCCCCAAATCTCAAAAATATAAGTTTTTTTCCTAACTCCTTGGGCAGCAAAACCTGATTGAGCCCATTTACAGTCACGCCTACTTGTCAGCTTTAGAACTCACCAAACCCCACACTTGCCACATTTTGAGGAGAAAAAAAAGTTTCAGCACTCAGTGCTTCTTGGAAATGCTTTGTACTTGGTAGGACTTGTGTGAATCATGAGGCTATGCTCCCCCTCTCCCCCAAGAGAAAACACTTCATGGTTTAGTACTTATCGGTTGCAGCACTCATTTCCAGTTCTGGAATGAATTAACGAGGAGTACACTGTTGGGAATTGCTCTGCCTGATTTCAGGAATTGTAACTACCCCCCATGGCTAAGGATGAGTGAGCAACCTCCAGAATTGGAGCCACTAGGAGACAAAGCTTGTCTCTGGTAGCAAACGCTGCCTCTGCTCCCCCCATCAAAGCATGGTCGGTTAGTCCATGACCAGTAGGAGTCCTCACAGAGAGGGGCAACCCAAGCCAGACACAATCACTTGGAAGGACTCGGTCCATCACGGAAGGACTCGACATGCAGGACGCGGGCTGCAACAAAGAGGGAGTGATGGACCCTTGCCCCCCACCCAGCTATTCTGACATAGCCCGAGTCCCCATGTCGTCAGGGAAAAGCGTTTCCTGGCTCTAATCCACTTAAGCCTGAAAATCGGTGATGCGGGAGGTGGTGCATGGCTAGAGTGGGATCTAGGGTGATCAGGCATTAGAAAGAGTTCCTAAAAGTCCTGTGAAACCTGCTTTGCTAAGAGTACTTTCATTCATATGATAAGGATCTGAGCAGGAAATGAGTATGTTTCCCAAAGTTTCTGCAATCCCCTTTCCTGACACTGACTCAGACTAAGCCCTCGTTTTTCTTTGAAATGTTATCTACTGTTTGATCCTTACCACCTGTATCCCTGTGTATTAAAACCCAATAAAAGTCCCTGGAGGAAGGGGCTCCTGGCCTTTTTCGCCTGAGAAATTGGCCACCTCTCTTCCCCAAGCAGATCATGTTGGTAGTGTTACTTTCATCCGTGGCGAAAAGGGGGACTTGCTGGCAAAGTCACCCCCACAGTACACCAACGTAACACTGTATGCTGTAAAAAGTTCTAGGTTTCACTACAGAAACAGGATGGACTGATTGTGTAATGCTGCCCCAGACTGGGGGTGAATGTAATATAGTAAAGGTACTATACCTCAGAATGTCAGATAAAAAAGTCACTGTATATTATTTACTGAGTGCCAGGTATGTAGTCTGTTGGTCCATGACCAGTAGCAAACTACATACCTGGTATGGTATTACTTCATTCAATCCTCTGAACAACCCAGTAAGTTTGATCTTGCCCAAGATCATCTAATGTGTACCAAATGGTACAGGCATTACTGAAATACAGGTTTATTTAAGTCAAGCCTTAATCACTTTTGAAAGATGAGAAAAGCATTGAAAATGAGTCTGTTAGAAACACAAGTGAGAATAGAGGTGAAAACAATTCTTTTAAAGGATTTAGTATTTGCTTCTTGACTCCTTCTAACAAATAACACTACCATTACCTAAAGTCTTGGCCATTTTCATATTGAATGGTTAAAAAAACACAGGTATCTCAAAGAAGGTACTTCTAAGTGTGTTTTTATTTTTCTCCCATAGTCCACCCCTACAGTACAGGACCTTATTTATTTATCTTATTCCACCTATTACCAATCAAAATTTTCTGTAGCCCTGACTTTGCCATGCATTAAGTTCAGTAAGCATGCCTTCTGTTTTCATCTAAATCAGTGCTTCTCAAATACGGGTGATTCTGCCTCTCCCCTCTGCCCTACCTCGGGGGACATCTGGCAAGACATTTTTGTTGTCACAACAGAGAGTGTGTGTATGTGTGTTACCAACAGCTGGAGAATACTCTAGAATGCACAAGCCAGACTTCTACAATAAAGAATTCTCTGGCTCAAAATGTCAATAGTGCCAAAATTTAAATCTTTGATGAAAATGCTAAATAAGAATAAACAAAATAGCCCTGGCTGGTGTGGCTCAGTGGGTTGAGTGCTGGCCTATAAACCAAAAGGTTGCTGCTTCGATTCCCAGTCAGGGCACATGCCTGTACTGCAGGCCGAGTACCCAGTTGGGGGCGTGTGAGAGGCAACAATCGATGTTATCTCTCACATATCAATGTGTCTCTCCCTCTCTCCCTTTCTTCCCTTCTCTCTAAAAATAAATAAAATCTTTTAAAAAAAGAATAAACAAAATATTGGGATTAAAGAGATTTCCAAGCTGACTAAGCAATAATATTCTTTAAAAATGCCTTTCTACTAGCTGAAAAGTAATATTAACGCTTTATTATTCATCTAACATCTGAAGACAGACATTTTAAATTCAGTTAGTAGCAAAACCATTTTTCCTTTAAAAATTTACTGGGCCATTTAACAATGAAGAAATGGAAAAACTCAGTTACACAAATTAACAATTTTTTCACCACTGAACTGACTCCCAAGATGAATGATAGCTCATCACTGAATTAAAGTCAAATGTTACACTTAAACTTGTGGGCAAATATTCCATATCTTAGTGCAATGAAGTGAAATTTAAACAAAATATTATTTCAAACTTTAAAATTAATAATTCTCTTCAATCCTCACCTGAGGTTATTTTTATTGATTTTAGGGGTGGGGGTGCAGAGAACATCAATGTGAGAAACACTGATTGGTTGCCTCCCATATAGGCCCTGACCAGGGATGAAACCCGCAGCCTAGACATGTGCCCTGGCTAGGGACTGGACCCACAACCTTTTGGTGCATGGGATGATGTTCCAACCAACAGAGCCACCCGACCAGGAGCAAAATTGGTAAGTTTTTTAGAAAAAGAGTCAACTCAGTACTAGTGATATTTAAACAGGTATTCTCATATGGTACTACAAATGGAAATGAAAAACTGGTTTAACCCTACTTTATTATTAGTCCCACCTTATAAATGAGGAAACTGAGGCACAAAGTAGTTATGCGCATTACTTTAAAAGGTCACATACCTAGGAAGATGCTGATCAGAGAAATTTGAACTCAGGCAGCCTGGTTCTAGTTTGTGCTCTTGACCACTCTGTTTTACTATTTCTACGTTTTATAGAATATTTTTACAACTATTGAAAATGCATCGAAAATGGGAGACAAAATTAAAGGATAAACAGACTGATAAATATGTTCAAATGAACATAACAGATTGAGATGATATATAAACAGGAACATCTTAAAAGAAATAAAAAATGTAAGAGATCGGCCTCTCTAATGATTACATAGTCAAAAAAGTTGAATAAAATTCAATTAAAGTGCAGGTATAACTAAAATAGGTACTCTGATACTTTTTTTGATGAAGGTACAAAGTAGTACTTTCAGGGAAAAACAACTCGGAGTTTCTCTAAAAAGTATAAATGAATGTAGTCTCTGACCCAGTACTTCTGCTTTCTAGGAATTAATCCTACAGAAATATCACATAAGCACACAAAACAATCTGTTCAACAATATTTATTACAGCATTATTTGTAACAAAAACTAGAAATAAGCTAAATGTTCATGAATGTGGAGATAATTAAATGAATTACTATAGAGTAGTCACAGTTGGAGCAGACAACTTAAAACAATGAGGCAGATTTGCAATAACAAGAAAAGAGATCCATACTATATTGTTTAAGGGAAAAGAGCTGGCTGCAGAAAAAAGTGTGTGGCTTTATATCTGAGAAGGCACAGAGCAGTTACTTCACATTTCAAATAAATTATGCCAATTTCCAAATATACTAGTTTCAAAATGTGCAAAGGAATCACCTCACATTTGATAAATGAAAGGCATTACTTTACTTCTGGAAGCCAACCAGGAAAAAGGAAAACCACATTTACAAATATCTATGTCTTGAAACATATTAAAAAAATGGATAACATTATCTAATAATATAACATGTTTTGAAAAGACAGAAGGTTTATTAGAATACTAATAATTCTGATGCTGTCTTTTTAATTTATGAAGAGTAAAACCGGAAGGGAATTCAAGTTTACCTAGCACAAACCCCACATCACACAGATGAAGCCCAGAGAAAGGAAGTAAGTTGTACAAGTTTCACACATACTAAGAGACTGAAGAGGAAGGAACTCACTCAGTTTGTTTGTTGTTTTTTTTTAACTCTAAATCCAGAATCTTGACTTGTGAAGGGCATTATCCAATAATTTACTGGGCTACTTACAGGACTTGGAACGCTTACAGTCCTGTGTATTAATGGGGCCTTTTTGATCTAGCACTTTCAGAAAGCAGCAAACTAATCTCTGTTGTATTACCTGTATTCACACTCACTACAGAGTAAAAGTTTCCAAAGTCCCTTTCTTTCACATCACTGGCTTTCAAATAAAATCTTAGTGGAATCCTAAGGTAGAAACGATAATAAAAAGCTGAGCTGCTCTGAGCAAAACCATGCATGAGTCCTCTATGACTCACTGCTTTGACCCTGAAGTCTCTGAAACACTTCCAGGGTATCTGGGATCTCAGAGACACAGACACACAGACACACAGACACACAGACACACAGACACACACAGACACACACACACACACACACACACACAGCAAGCCCAAATTTTTATTAGTTTCACTATACAAAATCAGCTTAAGTTTCTAAATGCTTATTTTCAAATTGTATAGTTATCTTTTCATGGATCAATAACAAACAGCTCACAGACCACACTTTTGGTAGCACTGTATCATATCAAACTAAACCTTAAAAGATGTTCCTGACTTTGGAAGTAGGGGGTAGGACAGGACAGAGCAATGGGGGAAAAAGGTGGGACAACTGTTAATGGAACAACAATTCAAAAAAGATATTCCTGATAACATCAGAACACCTGATATAGTAAGGAAGAAGTTAGAAACTTACTTCTTATCAAAAAATGTTGAATTTTCTTTCCTCTTGGTGAATCCATTGGGTAGAAGTTTTAAGTTAATACCTTGCCTTCGGGCACGATTTTTCATGAAGTACATCTAACAACCAAAAAAATTAGACAAATTAATTTTTAAATTCCTTAAATTTAAAAAGTGAATAAAATAACTTTCAAAATATAGCAGTTAAGATTGAGTACTGCCTTGGCTGATGTAGCTCAGTGAATTGAGCACGGGCCTATGAAACAAAGGGTTGCTGGTCCAATTCCCAGTCAGGGCACATGCCTGGGTTGCAGGCCAGGTCCCCAGTAGGGGGCACATGAGAGGCAACCACACATTGATGTTTTTCTCCCACTCTTTCTCCTTCCCTTCCCCTCTCTCTAAAAACAAATGCATAAAAACATATACTTTTAAAGATTTATTGAGTACTTGTGTTTCACAAACTGTGCCAAGAAGCAATGCCATTTAGTCCTCAGAACACGATGAGACAGGTACTGCTCCATCACCTCCATTTGGCAGTGAGAATTAATGAATGGCCAACACTATACAACTATTTCTAACAGGCAGAGCCCGTATTCAAATCCAGGTCTGTGTAACTTCAGAGCCAGCGCTTTTACCCATATGCTCTACAAGCCAAGACAAGGTCATTTGGCAATCATAGGTGCTACCTATACAGTTCTCTCTCTTTGAGTGATGGTTTTATAATATATATCTGTTTTTATTACTAGAGAGGTACTTCACTCAGGGGAGGAATCATGGCACTGCCTAGACCAAGCCTAATGAAAAATATTAGGCAAAGAAATGGTCAAGTCTAAACACAAGTTTCTTGATTAAATAAATGGGGATCTAGAGTTTGCAATGCAGAGTCAAGACAAACAAGACCCAAGCCAAGGGAAAAGAAAGGCAAGCAATCACTGGATAATAATAAAAATGATTTAAGAAATTATATACAATTTATAACTACAGAACTTTGGTTTCAACTGTGGCAGTGGTTATAACAACCAACTCTCCCAATGAAAACAGCTAAGAACACTAGATAATGGGGAGATAATGGGGAAAACACACACACACACACACACACACACACACACACACACACACACAATAAAGTGTACTTTAATACCTCTAAAAGCAGTGAAGAGGAAAATACAGGTCAACTCTATTAAACAGTGAGAACTCAGGTAAGCAAAGTAATGAAGCCACTTTTGCAAATTCTAGCAAATACAGGCTTCCCCTCTCACCAGCCTCTGAGCAAGGGGGTCAGAGTCAAAACCTTGTAAACTTCTAGGCAGCTCTCTTTAAATGCAGCTGAGTCACAGGAAAAGGGTAAACCAGACATAAACTCCAGAGTGTGCTAGGAAGTATGCACTGGTCTAACTGGAACAGGAGGAGGAAAAATCCATTAGAAGTTGTGGTCATGAGCTAGCCCTTGCACAGAGTTGAAATGAAAATTTGCTTTGCTTTTGTGGTCAAGAGAATCTTAAAACTTTAACTTGGTTTCAGATAGACCCAGATTCACAATGTTCCCAGGTACCTGGTAGAAAAAAAAAAAGACCTGTGTGTTCCATCTTCAAAAAATTCTTGCAAATAACTTTTTAAAGAAAGAAAGCAGCACTCAAAAAATAAACAAGTATAAACAATAAAGAAAAAAGGCTTAATAAGCAGGAACCAAAGGAGACAAAAAGAGGCAGCCGAGAGACTTCCACATGTATCAATAAATTTAAATGAATCATACACAGCTTACAGGACAGTTCTGCAAAATTTAAAGGAATAAAATAAAGCCTGAAAGTATCTACAGTGAAACTATAAAAAGTGACTCAGAAGATTTTTAAAAGAAATAAAACTAGAAATGTCCTAGAATGCAATATAGAAATAAAAAAGATGAAAAAAAAAAGCTGAAGACAGGTCAAAGGATAGGTAAGACGTAGGGAGAAGACCTAAGCTATATTTAATGGTAGTTTTAGAAGGAGAAAAGAGAAAGAATAAGGCAGAGATAGTATTTTAATAGAAATGGGCTGATGCTTCAGTTCTTGCAGAACTGAAGAAAAACACTATACAGTTTCAAGAACCCTAACATTTTCCAAATAAGGTGAATAAAGATAAATCTGCATTTTCACATTATAGTAAAAATGCAGGGCTTCTGGCCAAGATGGGGGTGTAGGAAGATATGCTTTGCTTCCTTGCACAGCCAAATAAATGACAGCCACCAATTTAAAATGAACCAGAACTGCTGGAAAAGCAAACTGTATGGAAGGCCGACAACCAATGAGTTAAGGAAGAAACATTCATCCAGACTGGTAGGAGGGAGACAGGGAGACAGGCAGCCAGGGTGGAGGGAATGCACAGAAAAATGGTGGCTGACAGACTGGGCAGTCCTCTATTTGCACATGGATAAACCAGGAGGAACAACTGGAGAGTAAGACAACCCAGGGTTCCAGCACAGGAAAAGAAAGTTTCAAAACCTCTGGCTGTAAACACCTGTGGTGGTAGTGGCAGCACTAGACACTGCCAGTCTCACAGGAGAGTCCATTGGTGGGGTCCATGGGGCCCTAGAACATACACAAGCCAATCCGCATGAGAATCAGCATCGGAAAGGCACAATTCCCCTGTGGGTAGTTAGGGAAGTGACTGAAAGCTGGCTGAGAGCCGAACAGATGGCATCATTCCCACTCTGACCCTCCCCCACAAACAGTGTCAAAACGTGTCAAAGGGAGTTGCCCCACCCTGGTGAATTCCTAAGGCTCTGCCACTTCCAACATAACAACTGTACCAAGACAAAGAAATATGGTCCAGATGAAAGAACAGATCAAAACTCCAGAAAAAGAACTAAGCAATGAGGAGATAGACCGCCTATCAAGTGTAGAGTACAAAACCCTGGTAATCAAGATGCTCACAGAAATGATTGCACACGGCTGCAAAATAAAAGAAGTGAAGGCTATACAAAGTGAAATAAAGAAAAATATACAAGGAACCAAGAGTGAAGGGAAGCAAACTGGGACTCAAATCAATTGATTTAGAACAAAAAGAAGAAAAAAACATTCAACCAGAAGAGAATTAAGAAACAAGAATTCAAAAGGGGCAAGGGATTTCAGGAACAACTATAAAGGATACATGGACAAAACGAAGGGGGTTGTGGTGGGAGAAAATGTAGACAACTGTATTTGAACAACAATAAAAAAATAAAATAAACAAATAAAATAAAATAAAATGAGGAGAGGCTACCTAACCTCTGGGACAACTTTAAATGTTCCAACAGCCAAATCACAAGGGCGTCAGAAGAGGAAGAACAAGAAACTGAAAACTTATTTGAAAAAATAATGAAAGAAAACTTCCCCAATATAAGGAAGGAAATAGACATACAAGTCGAGGAAACTCAGAGTCCCAAGAAGTTGGGCCCAAAAAGGAACACACCAAGACACGTTTTAGTTAAATTATCCAAGACTAAAGATAAAGAGAGAATCTTAAAAGCAGAAGAGAGAAGAAGTTACCTACAAAGGAGTTACCGTAAGACTAAAAGCTGATTTCTCAAAAGAAATCTTGTGGGCAAGAATGGGCTGGAAAGAAGTGTTTAAAGTCATTAAAAGCAAGGACCTACATCAAAGATTACTCTCTCCAGCAAAGCCATCGTGTAGAATGAACAGGCAGATAAAGTGCTTCCCAGATAAGGCAAAGTTAAAGGAGTTTATCATCACCAAGTCCTTATTATATGAAATGTTAAAGGGACTTATTTAAGGAAAAGAAGATCAAAACTATAAACAGCAACATGACAGCAAACTCACAACTATCAACAATTGAACCTAAAAACAAAACAAAATAAAACAAAAGCAAAAACAAACTAAGCAAACAACTAGAACATGAACAGAATCACAGAAGCAGAGATCACATGGAGGAATATGAGCTGGGGGTGGTGGGGGAGAATGGGGAAAAAGATATAAGCAATAAGAAAAATAATTGGTAGGTGCAAGATAGACAGAAGGAGGTTAAGAAGAGTATAGCAAATGTAGAAGACAAAGATGGGCTTTGACTCATGGGCATGAACTAAGTGGGGGGAATGCTGGAGGGAAGAGGAATACAAGGCAGAGGGGGATAAATGGGAGTTAATAAATAGGATGACTGTAATAGCATAATCAATAAAATATACTTAAAGGATGCAGAACACAAAAATAATGCAGCCAGAAAATATTTTAAAGGCAGTTAAAAATGACAGATGACTTTACAACTATGGAAACCACAGACATTGGAAAAACAAATCTGAACTCAGAATTCTACAAAGAAAAATCACTAAGAGTGAGGATGAAATAAAAATACTCGAATAACCGAAAGACTAATCTAAGAGTTGGTAACCAACAAACCCTCTCTAAAAGACAGTCTAAAGGATGTACTTGAGGCAGAAAGTGATCTCTCAGATGGTAGGTCTAAGATGATGAATGTAGGTATAAAGAGAAAAGAAAGTTGGAAATATGAAGATACACCAAAATAAACACTTGCTGGATAAAAAAGTAATTACTGTAGGAAGATTAAAAAAACACTTTAAATATATAAAAACAGTAAGAAAAGTTAGTAGAGAGTTAAATGAAATTTAAGAGTTCTAAAGGAACTGCTAACAAACTAGGGCCAAATCCCGCTTGTCACCAATTTTTATAACCAATTTTTTTTTGCAATACAGTCCCCCCCCTCCGCTGTTTATGTACTATTTATGGCTGCTCTCCTGCTACAATGGTGGAAAAGAGTAGTTGTGATGGAGACCATATGGCATGGAAAAAGTATCTGCCATCTGATCCTTTATAGAAAATGTTTGCCAATTCCTATTCTAAGATCCCAGCATTGTCTAGTTACACAGTTAAGATACTGATTAACTTCAGATGCTGGTAAGGTAAGTTAAGCATGTTGTATATTCAGCCTGACAAAGGAAGGATAGAAAAGGGGTGTATAACTTCTAAACCAATGAAGAGAAAAATTCAAGTGCTAAAAAAAAAAAAGACCCCCCCCCCGACAAAACACCTCAATCAGTCCAAAAGACGGGGTGGGGGGGAGGGAGATAACAAAATGGAGCAAAGAGCACAATAAGGTGATACATTTAAAGTCAAATACACATGCGACTT